AAGTTTAAGAAAAAAACAGCGAAGTTTTGAGTTTTAGCTATTTCTGCGTGACAACCTTTGAAAATGACCGAATTGAGCTGGAAAATAGCTAAATTGGCCGCATAGTTGCGCAGCTTTTGACTTACAGGGTATCTAAGCGTCTATAAATTCAAATAACATTCTGCGTATTTCTTTTGCTAATGTGGCTGCTTCTTCATTTCGGTTTTCTGGACGCACTGAGTCAAGGTCAGGCGCATTTGTCATCGTTTAACTTAAATGCTAATGCTAATATTCTGCTTCTTCTTCTTCATGCTGTCGCTCATTTCGTTCAATTTGCGAAAAAAAAAGATATTTGTTCCAAGTTGTAAACGCCATTAAATGCCACTTGGCCGTCAAGTGTTTCGCTCTCCTGCCCGCCTTCAAATCCGATCTCTTGTCTAATTTCAGCTTCCTGTAGCTTTGGCTTTTTTTTTGGCTTTTTTTTGAAGCGCACGTGTGAGAACGCAGTCAATTAAGTGAAATCACGATCAAATTATGATAAGAAACCTTTTTGTTTTTTTTTTTGTCTCTCGCTAAATGCAATTAAGCGCATTTAATTGCAATAAAACCTGGCCAAAAACAGGTGGGCAACCGAAAATGGCGAAAACCATTGAAATTCAGCAAATTGACAGATTTTGATAAACTGCGAGCTTGCAGCTGGCAGAGGGTGAAAGTCTTTTAACCACGATACAACTGCAATTTGTCAACAGCCGGCCATTTGAAGAAGACATTTGAAGACATTTGTGATTTGTTGTTGTTGGCCATGTTTAACCAAACGCAGTGACACAATTTGTTAAGACCACTTTTCCACATGTCAAGCTGCAGCAGCAGCAGCATCTGCAACGGCAGCTGCTTACGGCTGACAGCCGCCTGACCTTGAGCCTGACACTCGCCTCGCTCAGATACATTTGTATCTCAGAGTCTTGCAATTTGCATTTGTGCGTGTGTGCCGCCTCATTTCCAGTTGGCCTCAGTCCCGCATCATTGTGCCGTTAATTATGTCTGTTGCGGCCCTTCTCATCAGCAGCAGCAGCAGCAGCAGCTGCTGCACATGCGGCCGCATTTATTTTCGAAAAAAAATAATACAAATTGGTCGCATATTGGCGCGCCGCTGCGCACACTGTTGCCCAAAAATGTTGTGCGCCTTTGGGGTTGCTGGCAGAGCTTTGCGACTGCCTCTGCCAGGAAGTATTTCGCACCCCTCAACAGCAAAATCAGCTGAGTTCCTGTTAATCTATGCTTATGCAACCTCAACTATATCATAACAGCTTAGCGCTTGTTGGCGATTCGACCAGTGTATGGATTCGAGCTCGCAACCAGCACTAACTTATTATTCAAATGCAGTTATTAAAGAATATGAATATATATCAGCAAGCTATTTTAGCTACTTTTAGCTATTTTTAGCATTAGAGTCAGCTACTTATTTGAAGCGGCAGTTGGTGATTCGACTAGTGTATGGATTCGAGCTCGCAACCAGCACAAACTAATTATTCAAATACAGTTATTAAAGAATATGAATGTATATCAGCAAGCTTATTCAGCTATTTTTAGCTAATTTTAGCATTAGATTCAGCTACTTATTTGAAGCGGTAGTTGGCGATTCAGCTAGTGCATGGATTCGAACTCGTAACCTGCATTAACTAATTATTCAAATGCAGGTATTAAAGATTTGAATATATATCATATATATATATATTTGAGCTATTTTTAGCTATTTTTAGCTATATTTAGCATTGAATTCAGCTACTTACTTGAAGTGGCAGTTGGCGATTCGGCTAGTGCATGGATTCGAACTCGTAACCTGCACTTACTAATTATTAATAATATGAATATATTTTCCCTCAAAATTGTGCATAAATATTCAGCAATATTATTAAATAGCTTAATAAATTATGTCCTTAGTGAATGACTTTCTAAAATTAGCCGCAGCCAAGTTAATCTTCATTATATTATTTTGAAATTTATGTGGGCGCCAAATTTTTTTAATACAAATTTCATTAAAGCAAAAAATCCCAAAATAAAAATGACATTTTGATGCATTTAAACAGCTTTGCGCTGGCAGCTTTCAGGGTATCTTCCAGTTGGGCATTCCCTACTCCAACTTAATTTAAGTAAAGATTTCCAAACATATTAAGCGAACTCTAGTTAGTTGCTCTGGTTCGCAATTAAAATTGCAAATGTGCTTAAAGCTTGTTGAAGCTAAATCGTATCTGGATATATGAATCAGCATGACGCTGCACAAACGAAGCAAGCGATAATTGTTGTTAATTTCAATAGGGCAAAGATATATATATATATACATATATATATTTAAATAAATTTACTTTAGCTGCAGCTGATGTAAATTGAGCATAAAGCACAATCATGCCACACTTTAATTGAAATCCCGACAAACCCGGCTAAATTGTCAGCTGCAGGCGACCAATTTTTGGGGGCCATGGAAATTAGTCAAGTCTTGAATTATTCAAGTGCACCTCGCCTGTAAATTGCAAATTGCTGACGGCGGCTGCCATTTTAGCTAGAGATACTTTTGAATCCACAAGATACTTCCACATGCAGTTGCACTTGTCTTGTCGATTAGTTGTGAGCCCCACAATCAGTTTATCTATATCTGTATCTGTATCTGCATCTGTATCTGAATCTGTATCTGTATCTGTATCTGTATCTTTATCTGTATCTGTATTTGTATTTGTATTTGTATTTGTATCTATATCTGTATCTGTATCTGTATCTGTATCTGTATCTGTATCTGTATCTGTATCTGTATCTGTATCTGTATCTGTATCTGTATCTGTATCTGTATCTGTATCTGTATCTGTATCTGTATCTGTATCTGTATCTGTATCTGTATCTGTATCTGTATCTGTATCTGTATCTGTATCTGTATCTGTATCTGTATCTGTATCTGTATCTGTATCTGTATCTGTATCTGTATCTGTATCTGTATCTGTATCTGTATCTGTATCTGTATCTGTATCTGTATCTGTATCTGTATCTGTATCTGTATCTGTATCTGTATCTGTATCTGTATCTGTATCTGTATCTGTATCTGTATCTGTATCTGTATCTGTATCTGTATCTGTATCTGTATCTGTATCTGTATCTGTATCTGTATCTGTATCTGTATCTGTATCTGTATCTGTATCTGTATCTGTATCTGTATCTGTATCTGTATCTGTATCTGTATCTGTATCTGTATCTGTATCTGTATCTGTATCTGTATCTGTATCTGTATCTCTATATGCATTATTGTTCATTGTTATGCGAGAGTTTTGCGGTCAAAGACGCTGCGGATTGGGCTTATCAAACGACTGCGACGGCGACGTCGGCTGCGACTGCGGCTGCGGCTGAGGAAGAGCGCGAGTTGCACTTAAATTGCAGCCACGAGACAGACGTCAATCAGTTTGCGTAGCTCAACTAATAAATTCCCCCACACACACACACACACACACACAGATACACACATATTCGCAAACACACACATGGAGATAAAGATCAAGCCCATTTAGTGTGCGCCTGAGTTAAGGGGTTGAGGTCGGGTGAGGCAGCTGCCTCCGACGTGGTCACAACTAACAAGCGGCTCGCTTTTAATCTCAATCTGTTGTAAGTGTGTAACAGTATGTGTGTGTGTGTGCGTGTGTGTGTGGGTAGCGACTAGTTGAGCTTTTTAAGAGACAAATGTTGACAGGTGATTTACTTAATTAAGAGTTTGGGCCAAGCAACAGAGTGAAAGTCATGTGATAGATGCTTAACAACTGTCAAATTCAAGTGCTCAAATTAATAACAATAGTTAAAACCAAATATAATTGTTTAACTTTATATAAATAGACGATAATTCACTGATAATTGAGCAACTCATGAATAGTTGAATGATAAGTTAAACTCAGCACCTTTTATTCCAAGAAAATTCCAAGCTCAGTTGATAGATAAGTGTTTTACTTGTTCTTTTTTAAGAATTGCCCCTTACATCATTTTTTTATTGCCAAATTCCTTGCATGAATTCATGGAAGATTAATATAATATAGTTGGAACCTCTCTGAGACACTGAACATATTGTTTCTATGCGAATTCCCAATTCCAAATAATGAAACATTATTATATTTGTTCAATCTATCGGATTTGTACATTGATTCATATTCAATGAATACCAAGTGAATTAATCAGAGTTTATTAAAGTGAATTTCTCTTGGATATAGTTTGCTGATAAGTAAGTTCTTTTACAGTCCATCAACAATATTTTACTCAATGAAATTCTAGTTTCAATGCATGGAACATACTAACATACTGGAATACTAAGAGAACCCAAAATGAGTTCAACTTTTCGATTGATAGTTTTGCATTCTATGCGAGTTCATTCATTCATTCATACTTTCATTAATGAAGACCTCTTCTGAGTATTCCCTGAAAACTTCTTCACTCTGATGAATACCTGGTGCAAATTTATGTTAAACTATTTTTAAATTAATTCGCGTTGCTCTTTCTCTTTTTGTCGTGCTCATTTTGACGTATCTCTTCCCAGTTCTCAAGACTGACTCACGAAATTTTTTTTGCTTGCGTGTGTCAGGTGCTTGAGTAGTTGTGCTGATGTCACAGTCCATGCCAAAATTATCGTGTCGAACCTAAGAACTTATCAATAAAATGACAAAAAACCAAATATTAATTACCCAAGCGGAGATAACGCACAAGCTTAACCAACGTACAAGCGATAAAGAAATCTAAGCACGATAGCGACTATTGATAGATAGAGGAAAATACAAAAGAGTCAGAGAGAGAGAGAGAGAAAGAGAGAGGGGAGAGAGAGAGAGGGGGGGGGAGATAGAGTTGGCAAATATGACGCAAGCTGCGATTTCTGATTAGCTCGCTGCGATCAAAGCTCGTGGAATCGACTAGACGCAGTTAGTTTCCATTGCCGGAACTACACGAAATTACACCTGACTTCGTTTGATTAATTCGAGTTTTCTTCTTTTTTGCTACCTTTGCAGCCGAACCCAGCACAAGTAGATCCCAGTCAGAGATGGAGCGCCGCGTTAACTTGTTGCCCGCCCTGCTGGCTCTCTTGCTGTGCATTTGTGCAGCAGCAGCAGCAGCAGCTGGAGCAGGAGCTGGAGCATCGCCCGCGTATTACTGCCCCGAGGACTGCAGCTGTTCGCTGTCGCAGCACACGCACAAGCCGCTGCTCCATGCCAAGTGCAACAGCACGAAGGGTTTGAAGCTGTCTTCATTCCCTTCCGTGCCCATACATTCCATTGATTTGTCATATTTGGGCTTGACGCGTCTGGGCCATGTGCTGGACATGCTGCCCAATCTCACCTCCGTGGACTTGTCGCACAACGACTTGCACGAGTTGGGGCATCTGAGCAAGCGCATCAAGAAGCTCAATCTCAAGCACAATCGTTTGACCTCAGCCAAGCTGTTGAAGCTGCCGCAGCATTTGCAGGTTCTGAATTTGCAGCACAATGACATCACGTCGCTGCCCATGGAGCTGACACATCTGCAGCATTTGCAGCAGCTGGAGCTGGGCCACAATGCCATCAATTGCTCGTGCAGCACCTTGGAGGTGCGCAACTGGCTGCAGGAGCGCCATGTCTATATGGAGAAGCCCGTCATCTGCAGCCAGCCGACGGAGGCGCACGGCAAGCCCTGGCTGCAGCTGAAGCAGTCCGAGATCTGCGAGAAGGAGCAGCGCGGCTGGTATACGCCGGACATAGACGAGAACGAGCTGATGTTGGGCGATCAGCCCATGCCCGACTCCAGCGAGCAGGAGGACGACGAGGAGCAGGAACTGGGCAAAGACTATCTGGTCATCGATGGCAAGAAGTCCGTAAAGACGCCGGAACCAGCACCTGCCCAGTTGCATAGCGATGTGGAGGGCTCGGGCGATCTGAACGAGATGAATATGGAACTAATTGCCCAGCAGGCATCGGAGCCGGTGCCCGTTATTGCCGAGGAGCCCAAGGGAGCAGAGCAGCTGGTCGCTGCTCACGACGAGGAAGACACCGACGAGGAGGGCTCGGGCAGCGGCGGCGGCGCCCTAATCATACCAGCCATCCATTCGGATCCCATCAACACAGATGACTTTGAGCCTCCAGAAACGCACGAATCCGAACAGGTAAGCAACGAAAACAACGACGACGACGACGACGACAGCTACGACAACAAGCCGCTGGAGCAGCCGGCCACGCCCTCGGCGGACATCTTCAAGAACATCGGCATCTTTGAGGATGCCGGCGGCAATCCGGTCAGCGAGGAGGCGATTGTGCCCGTGGTGCAGACCAAGCTGGATGCGGATGTGGTCACCGACGGCCCATTGGATCTGGACAAGACCTCCGAGGACATACTGTCCGCCAAAGTGGGCAAAAAGGATGACAGCAACGCGATCTATTTCCTGCTGGGCGTCATTGCGCTCATCGTGCTCGGCCTGATACTCTTCGTGGCCATCAAACGCTGCAAATACAACAACAATGCGGCGGCGGCGGCACGTGACGCCGAGGCGCAGCGCCAGACGGAGCTGCTGGACATGGACAAGAGCAAGCTGGGCAAGCCGCTGGCACGCAACGGCCACGAGCATTCGCCCCTGATTGGCGAGAAGACCAAGCTGGACGAGGCGCAGATTGTCAACGGCAACGGCAAGAAGCCGTACGATAGCAAGGACGGAGCTGGACAGCAGCCGCTGCTCAATGGCAACGGCACGGCCAACGGCGATGCCAAGGAGTTGCCCACCATCAATGAACCCGTCGCCAATTCGGAGCCGGCGGCACCAACACATGAATACTATCCCATCACGCCGCGTTATCCCACGCCGCAGTCGCCGCGCGCCTCCAAGTACGCGCAGCATCCGCAGGGCCAGGCCGCCGCCGGCGAGCCGAACAACAACAACAACAATAATAGTAACAACAACAACAACAACAATGAACCGGATGGCGCCTACTTGCCATCGTCACCCAAATCCGGCCGCTATTCGCCCGTCTATTCGCCAGAGACCGGACGCGTCAAGATCAAGCTAACGGAGACGCCCAAACCGAAGACGCCGATGTTGGTCACGCGCAGCAAATCGAATGCTGGCGATATTATAACCACGCCCTATTTAGAGCCCACACATCAGGTCAACGGCATTGCCGGCCACTGAGATGATCCCCTCCGAAAAATCCCCGCCAGCAGCCCCCCTTTTTAGGCGTGAGAAACCGATAACAACAACAACAACAACTAGAAGAAGAAAAGCCTTTAGCTGAGCTTAGAGTGTGTGGCAATCGATAATCGATAGACGTTAATCGATAATCGATAGACGATAACGGTGCTTTGCAAAGTAGAGCAAACAACAACTATTCGTTTTAAGCTCCCGCATCCCCTCTTAATATACATATACATATACATATATATGGTAACCGTTTTGTAGTTTTAGCATTAAGTAAATTAATTAATACTTAAGCATAAATCTAGTTTAATACCAAAGTTAAAAAATATCTTAAATGTAAATTTCCCCAGCAGCGCGAAATACAAACGATAAAAGATGATAAATCCGAAATGGGCTGATGACGCTTTGCAACACTATTTTTCTACTACTGGCATCTGCATGAGACACACACAAACACACGATTACTTACTATACAAACCTATACATATATATACACACATATATAGATCAATTTATATATGTTCTTTATATATTTAATTATAATATTTAAGCTGCATTCTCTTGTGAAATTATATTGTGTTACTCTCTGTTCGTGTGAATGACTTTTCAATTCAAAATAAGCCTATCAATAAAAAGAAAAACTACAACATTTAAAAAGCTCAACAATTCGTTTAAACGTTCAATAAAAAGCTCGCTCCATGTTGGCTTATTCAAGTTTTCAACCTGTTCTCGTATTAAATGCAGCCACCATTGTTTATGAGTTGAATTCACAATTGACACACTATTTCAGCCAATATTGTAGCAAGCGGAGACAACAACCTTGCCACAGTTCGCATCGGCTGCAACAGTGCTGGCGAAAATAAAGTGTCTGCTTTGAATTGCTGTTATTGTTCCTTTCACAAGCTTGAAAATTAATAATTATGAATACGCTCGTATATGTATATGTAGAAACTGCTTTCATAGCTTCTGTAAAAGAGTGCTATCTTACACTGCGTCTCAAAATATTGATACACGTTATAGAAATACATACATGTATATGTGTAGACAGAGTAAAATAACAATCTATATGAAGATCAAATTTATTTTAGTTAAGATGTGTTTGGTCTGTGAACTTTAAACAACCTTGCCACACTTCGTAGCCATCGCCTGTAACAGTGCTGGCTGAAATAAAGTGTCTGCTGCGAATTTCAGCTACTGTTCCTTTCACAAGATTGGAAATTAAGAATTATGAATACGCTTATTTATATATGTTATAGAGTACTCTCTTACACTGCGTCCCAAAATATTGATACACGCTCTAGAAATATGTGTGTAGACAGCGTAAAATGGCAAATCTGTACTATAAATCATCGATTGATTGATTTATTTTACTTAAGATGGGTTTTTTTATATGAAATTTAAATAAGTCTTGACAGTTATATACAAACATATGATTTGGGCTTAGCAAATGAAAGAAATAAGTATTAGGGTATATGCATTGTCGTTTTCAGTGCTTAGAATAGGGTCTCTCTCATGGGCTTGTGGACCTGGACATTGCGTTCGCCGTCGCTGGCGGAGCTGGAGGAGCTGTCGCCGGCGGCGGCAGCGGCGCTAAAGTTGCCGCTGACCCGACGACTCGCGGAATTCTTGCGCTTCTTGCGCTTGCCGCGCTCCAGGTCGAGCTCTGCACAGGAGGTGGACACATTTGATCGGTTCTCGGAGGCGATATCCGCTTCGCCCAGCTCCTGAAAATCGCTGGCAATGGTGGACGTCGAGGTCGCCCGCTTCTGTGCACTGCTAAAGTAATCCTCGACAGCCGGATCCAGTTGTTGGTTTGTCTGACTGGACTCCAGTCTGTAGACCTGGGCGCTGACCTGCACGCTGGCCGGCAGCTTGGGCTTCCGTTTGGCAAAGGGGCTGCCCGGCTTGCTGGCGCCCAGATCCTCGTACTCGGGATCGGTGAGGAACTCGACACTGTCGGCCATCATATTGATCCGCTTAAAGGGCGGTATTTCGGCTATCTTGGGCTTTCGCTTCGTATACGGACTGTTCTCGTAGCTCTGAAAGTTGCCAATCTGTTCGGCGCTCTGCAGATTCTGTGTCTTCAGATGCGCCGCCGGAAAACGTGAATCCTCAATGCTGAAGCGTCGACTGCCCGACTGTGTGCCGTACTCCATGTAGCCGGTGCGACGATGCGGTCCGTATTGCGCGCGACGCTCCTTGTCGCGATTGGCGAGCATCTCCACGCTGCGGAATCGTTGCCGTGTGTCCAGCTGCAGCTCCTCCACCTCCTCGCCGGACAGTTCACCTTCTGGCTGGGTTTGGGAGCGACGCAGCTGCTTGCGATTGCGTTCCGTGACGCTCAGATCCAGCATGGACTTGACGGGCCGCTCCAGCTTGGGCATGCGCAGCGCATCCTCATACGAGGGCAACAGGCTAATCTCCTGCGTCTGCTGCAACGTCGTCGTCGACTCCTCACGCAGCATGCGCTCGTTGATGTCGCGTCTATGGAATAGGTGCATAAGGATTTGGGTTTCGACCTTGCCTTTGGGCATGGAACTTACATGCGTCGCAGCTCCTCGTGATTCTCATCGTATTCCCTGCGATTCTGGCGCTGCTTGTGCTTGCGCATCAACTTCCGGAAGCAGCCATAGAGTAGGGCCAATAGACCGAGGCCCAGAATGCTGAGCATTATGGTCGACCAGACCTTCTCCCCGCTGCTGCTGCGCACGCTCACCGTCCAGTCGGACATGCAGGCATAATCCCACAAATTGCCATAGTACTTGGCAGGCGAGGCACAACGCAACTGATGACGATCCCTGAGCTGCAAAGAGAAACGGATGATTCCCAGATATCAGACAGACTCTCGGCTCAACTCACCTTGGCCGGCTTGGCGGTCAGAAAGTCATAGAATTCGACAAACAGCGGATTCTGGCACTCGCATATCCAGGGATTATCGCCCAGCCACAACTGATCCAGAAACTTGTTCGCACGAAAATAAACTGGAGGTATGGGATTCGTCAATCGATTACCATTCAAATGCAAGTCCGCCAGCTCGGGGAAGCCGCGGAAGCTGCTGTTCCGTATGGTGGATAGCCTGAAAGAGGAGCTCGGAATATAAGGATATAAGGAATAAGGAACCTCACCTGCAGTTGGCCAGATTCAGCTGTTGCAGCGTTTCCGAGCGCATCAGATTGGGTATATCGCTGATCAGATTATGGGACAAGTCCAGCTTCTGTATGGCCGAGAGGCCGGAGAGCGCATTGCTTTCGATGTAGCTTATTTCGCACCAGCTCATGTTGATCAGACGCACCGAATTGGACACAATTTTCGTCAGCTTCTGTATGATATTGCGGCTGAGGTTCAGCTCGAGCAGCACATCGTTGCCGATGATGAGATTGCGATCGAGGTAGGCGATCTCATTGTACGCCAAGTTCAAATGCTTGAGCCGCTTCAGCTGACTGAAAGCCTCGTTGCCAATTAGGCGCAGCACATTCTTGGACAGATCCACCAGCTCCAGCAACGTATTGTTGGCAAAACTCTGCTGATCCAACGTGCGCAGCAGATTCCCGCTCAGACTTACCTCGACGAGCGCGGGCAAGCCGCTCAGATCGATCTGATCCAGATTGCAGAAGGAGGCGTCGAGGCGGCGCAGCTCAAAGGACACGATCAGATCGTCGTCCACGCTGCCAAACTGCAGGGCAGTATTATGCGACAAGTCGAGCACCTCCAGGCTGGGCAAAGCCTCAACAAAAGCGGAGCTGAGGCGCTGCAGGCTGCAGTTGCTCATGTCCAGCTCGCGCAGGCTGCGCGACGGCAGACGCAGCAGCTGGCCAAGCTGATTGTTGGCTAGCGAGAGACGCTGCAGATTGGGCAGCTGATTGACCAACAGATCGCCGCCAACGGAGCTGATCTGTGCCATGGACAGATCCAGTTCGCTGAGCGACTGGCTGTTCAGCTCTTGGCCGGCATTGTCGCCCCCAAAGCTGCCCAGCCGATTGCCACGCAGGCTCAGCTGCTTCAGACTCGGCGCATATTTGAACGCCTGATTGGCATTGATTTCCTGCCAGGCCACGATCGAGTTGTTGGCCAGCAGCAGAGTACGCAGCGATACGAAACCGATCAGAGCATCTGCCGCCAGACTGGCTATCCGGTTGCCCGATAGATCCAGATAGAGCAGCGAATCCATATCGGCATATTGTCGCGGAAATTCTTCAAAGCTGTTGCCCGACAAATCCAAATGCTCCACGGGCAGACTGTCAAAGTCCGGATAGGTTTGTAGACCGCGTCGCGAGCAGTTCGCATAGAGACTGTCGATCACCCAGCTGCACTTGCACGCAGCCGGACAATCCACCGCAGCAGCAGCAGCCACCATAAACATCAGCAGGAGCAGGAGTAGGAGCTGCATTTGCCTGAAGAAGCCAGAGAGGAGCAACAAGTAAATAAATGTAGTGCAATCAGCTGTGGAGCGTCCCCCCCTTCCCCACACAATTGATAGTCTGTTTATTGCGCATGCATTTTATTTGGCTCTTATCGTTATCAGAGCGAGTGGCAAGCAGGCGAGAGGGCTCGACTGGCAAATACCCTGCACAAATTATATATATGGTATGTACATTATCTTGAGCTATAAAAATTGTATTCTTTCATAAGTTGTGTATTTATTGTCCGATCGCTATGAAATTGTTTGAGCTTGGAATCTTCTATTCGAGTGTGAGAATATAGCAAAAATTATTTTAAAAAATTCATGTCCAAAAAATATTATATAAGTATATGCGTATACCGTTCGTCCGTTGTCTGATTAACTATATACATATATACTTTCTCATTCCGTTCGATACACAAAATAACGATATTGTTGGGGTTGGGAGGATCTTTTCAAGTGTGGGAATATAGCAAAAAATTGTACAAATCAAATGCAAGTCAAAAAAATGTGTTTAGCTCTTAGCTCGTCTGATTAACAACCTATATAGACAGTATACATATATACTGCCTTACACAAAATAACGATATTGTTGGGGTTGGGAGGATCTATTCAAAATATATATATATATAAATATATATCCGTCCGTCCGTCTGTCATCTGATTAACTTTATATATTCTGCCTCATTCCGTTCGTTACACAAAATAACAATCCCCCCCATTTTGACCATTCACTTTGCGTACAGGGTATCACACAAAAAGCGGACACAATGCGAGCGTTATTTTTCTTTTTACATATATTTGGTTTTGGCTTATACGCATTTGGTAATTGCGTCGCTTTGGCCCGAATTCGCAGTTTTGGCCTATTAATGACGTCACGCTTCGAATTTATTCACCTGCTTTGAAAAAAACGTTGTAATGGCTTTTTCTAATCCCACAACGCTTCAGAGCTTATCTTATCGATGCTCGGGATGGGGTTGGAAATTGAAATTGGAGCACCCCAAACACGAAGCACTCGGGCAGCACATAAAAAACAAATACTTTTTAATTTAATTTGCGTTTTTTTTTCTCTCGACTATTTCGAAACACTGAAACGCGTGATTTGAGTAAGTGAATAAAAGTCTACATTTTATTGGGGCTTCCAAAAACTAGCTTGAAGGCGTTTTTTTTCTTTCTTTCTTTCTTTCTTGTGTGTGCAATGTCTTCCCAATGTCGCCTAATACTGACTGAATGAAACAAATTACTCACCTGCCGCAACGGCGAACGTTTTTATTTCTGATAAGATAAGCCCCTGATAACGATAGTGCGCGCTCAGTGTTGGGCAATCCCTGCAGCTCTCTCTCTCACTCTCTCTCTCTCTCCCGTCAAGTGTGTTGTAAAGCAACGAAAAATACTGGTTGGCGAAATTAACAAAATTATTTCGGTCAAGTTTAATAGTTGATTGATGAGCCTTTATTGAAATGGTTATCATATGAAATTTACTAACAATTAATTAACTATTCGCTGTAGAATATGAAATATAAGTTAATTTATTAGTTTCTCACAATGTCAATCTTTATCAAATTATTTTCAGGCTAAAAAAAGGTTATAATCGATTTGAAAAGAGTAAACGTTATTCTCGCACTTAATAATCATAATTATAATAATCATATAACATTTTCGTGTCATTAATATAAACAAAAAGTTGACTTGAGGTTACGATTTTCAACCTTTAGTATATATATTATACTATATATATTTATTTCAAAGATCAGCTTTTTTAAAACCTTTGAATTCAGTTGAACTCAGATATAACTGTCAATGTCAATAAAATTATTTTCAGGCCAAAAAAGGTTATCATCAATTTGAATAGAGTAAACGTTATTCTCGCACTTTTAACTAACGTTTCCCCTAAATAATCATAAATATTGTCGTGTCTTTAATATAACTAAAAAGTTTACTTCAGGTGTCGTAAGTTAGCCTGTAATATATATATATTATATATATTTATTTCATAGATCAGCTTTTTGAAAACCTTTGAATTCAGTTGAACTCAGATATAACTGTCAATATCAATAAAATTACTTTCAGGTTAAAGAAGGCTATCATCAATTTGAATAGAGTAAACGTTATTCCATCCACATATAACAAAAAAGTTAACTTTAGGTTTCCTTTCTCAGCCTGTAGTATATATATTATATATATTTATTTAATAGATCAGCTTTTTTACAAACTTTGAGTTCAGTTGAACTCAGGCTAAATAACAATTCAAGCATAAATCTTTTCAATGCTCCATAAGGAAGCTCCATTCACTTGTCGCCAAAATCTTGGAAAATAAAAAAAAAAAATAATACAAAATAAAAATAAGTAAGCTTTGGCAAAATGTCGCGATGTGGTCGCTTAACGCTGACTCCAGCTGGCATGTGATGAAGTGCAACTGCAAATTACTTCAACTGTGACTGCGACCGCGTGAGGCAGGAGCTACTATGACTACTTTATATATACAACCGACTGATAGGGCATTAAAATTACCCTTACTCGCGCAGCTGTACCCTACTCTTCTCTCCTCTCGACAGTGGCTGCAGAATGTTGCCAGACACCTTCTAACCGGATTTATTGTAATGAAGCGTGCGCAAAACAGAAACGACGCTTTCGCTCAGACAGAGCGATAAAAGATGCAGTGCCAAATAAAAATCCGGACAACCAACAACATTTGCCACAACAACAACAGCAGCAACAACAAGAACAACAACAACAAGAACAACAAAGACAGCAACAACCCAAACTGACGTGTTGACAGCAACATATTTTGTGTTGTAGAGCCAAAGGAAAGGGAGGAACGCAATGTCACACACAAAAAACTAAGGTGACAAAGACTATAGTATTACAGGGCGTCGACTATTGTATGCCCTATAAATATATACACATATTTGAAAAAAATTTTTAAAGATTTTCGTGGGAAAAAGATTGTAGTAAATCTGAGCGTTGACTATTATATACCCTATACTTATATAAAAATTCATTTAACTGTGCGTTGACTATTATATACCCTAAACATATATAAAAATAAGGGAAGAAATTGTTGATGTTTTTCATATAATTTTTGACCAGCTGAAAAAGGCTGTAGCATAGTTGAGCGTTGACTATTATATACCCTATACTTATATAAAATATATATAAATATTGGAAGAAATTGCCAATGTTTTTCATATATTTTTTATATATTAAATAAATTAAATATTTTATATTAATATTTCTTTAGTTCGAATTTTTTAAAATGAATCAATAATTAAATATTTAATACGAATATTTCTTTAGTTCGAATTTTCTAAAATAAATCAATTAAATATTTCTTAATTAATAACATATCTTACGTCATTTACTGTGCCGAGCTAATCAATATATGCGAGCTACCCTAGGTTAGTGTATGAAGGAAAAGAAAATGATTTTGAAAAGCGTTAGCAACGTTACCAAATACAATAAATAAGTTGACGCTTTGCTTTTAAGGCAATCAGCTCGAAGAAGAAGAAGCAGCAGCAGCAGCAGCGCGAAATCGTCGAAGTAGAATGCAGAAGTCAGCGCAACGCCGAACTGATAAGCGCGCGCCCTGACAGGATGTAGCCGAGGCCCCCCCGCTTCCCCTCGCTTACCAACCCAACCCCCGTCCCCGTTGAACTATTGAATGCGGTCTGTCAGGCTCGTCAAGCGACAAATTCGGTTGCCCGGGCAGCAGAAGCCGCAGCAGCCACGCGCTCGCGGATAACTGCACAGATAATGGGCCAGCAGTGGGAGGAGCGGTCGGCGAGAGAGAAAGAAAGAGAGAGAGAGGGGGAGGGGGGAGAGTCGTGGCGTTTTAATGAAGCGCAAGGATTGGGCGGGTGGGCGACGGGATAATTAGCGGCTCGGGCCATGCAAAGCCGCGCGCGTTGGTTGTCCTTGGCCGCAGAACGTTGGGAATTCGCACAGTTGGAATCACAAGCCAACATCCTTGGTCCTTGACTCCGGCTCGTCCCTTTGTTAATGGATTGATTTTCGAAATTTCTCTCTCATCTAATCTGGTTGTCGCTTGATGCCTGCTTCGCTTTTTTTTATGGGCAATTTCTTGCTGCTTTTTAATAAGAAAAGAAGTGCTTTTTATTTATTTTTCGGTTTTTTTTTTTATTGCCGCACTTACTTAGCGGCAAAATCCCCGCCCAAGTCCCTGCACTCTCGCCCGCCAAAGTGCAGCCAAAAAGTTTTGTCCTGTCTTCAATGACAGCTGCGCTGGCCACAGATAAGCGCTGCCCCGCCCCGCCCCTCCCTGCTCCCCGCCCGTCGCTGCCAGGGGCTGTGACAGAAGTCGCGATAAAGTAAATTGCCTGCCGCTTCTGTCCAGCTTCCAGGTGAGCGGAAGTCAGCTGGCAATTCCTGCTGACTATCTGACTGCCTGTCCAGAGCTGCTCAGATAGCTTAGCACACAAATGTAGCCAAGTATTTGACACTCACACACACTTACACACACACGCACACACACACCCGATGCCATAAAGATAAGTTTGAGGCCACATTATGATTCATTCTAATCGGTCCGCAATGCCAATCGTCATCAGAGTTGGACGCGCAACGACATCGTTTCTATATTTTTTATGCCCCCTCACAAATTAGCTTTTTTATTGTTAGCACTCAGTCGGGGGGCGGGAAAAACAATTTACTTCTATCTGCAAGACGATACGTCACAAGTGGCACACACAAACATAAACACATAAAAGGCCGATAGCAGCAGCTCGCTTTGCATATGGCCTGCGACTTTAAGGCCAGCTCTGACTGTGCTTTAATTATGGACAGAAAATTTTACTCCTAGCATTTCGGTCGGGCGAAATCAAAGCGGCTTAGCACAAATATCTTAAATAGCAATAAATTTCGATTTTTGTACATTTTATGAATTATAAGCTTACCCCTGCTACCCCTGCCACCCCTTTCTTGCCAAGGGGCTGCACCTTAAGCATTCGCAGCGAAAAGTTTCCCCCGCCTCAACGTGCCACAAACTGACAGCCGCCTGGCAAAGATTTAGACAAAGACGCCAGCCATTTACTGTTATTCGCACTGATAGCAAAGTACTAGCTGCCCCCCTTGCCACCCCAGCCCCGCCCACAACCCCTCCCTCCTATAATGCAAACGGGGGCACAGCGTCTTAAGCGAGCATGCCGAGTGGCATTTTAACATTTTTAAGTCGCGACTCCCCCCTCCCCCTCCCCAACCCCAACCCCCGCAACATTTTCCAGCTTCAATGGCGTCTTCAGCTTGCGCCGCAAGCCTTTCGCCAGGATCTGCTACGGCGAGGCGCAGCGCCATAAATCAATTCGTATTAGTTTTATGAAATGTGTACCTGCGGCGTACAATGCCACACACACACACACACACACCAGCATACACACACACCTACAACAGGAAGTTACTGAGTTTATGCGTAACAATTTATGATAAGGTTTTATTGGAAGATGAGCCTTTTAAAAAAGTATACATACTTTTCGATATATCTATATCTATACCTATATCTATATATCTATTCGGATTGATAGAGTCGGGAAATATTTAAATTTGATTTGAGCTCAGCTGTTCCCTTTGTCAATGGGCAAAGCCAATGCAAAGAAGAAGAATTTCAAGAATTCTTCAATTTATTATGAATTTATCAATTTTTTTTTCAATTTCAGGTTCGGTTTACGGTACAAAAATTGGGATTCCTGGATTACTATTTCTATGGAAACAACTTTAATTAAACTTGTATGAATATTTACAATACTACTTACTGTTAAGTCTAACACTTACTGTTAAGTCTATCACTTACTGTTAAGTCTAACACTTACTGTTAAGTCTAACGTAAAAATGTACAAAGATAGGCTAATTCTGTAAACCGATCTGAGAGATCGATTGGATGAGATCTCCGCAATATCCTCCGGATTCGGACTCCTCCGATTCCCAGAAGGGAGATTCCCGGTTCAAATAATCTGCAAGCTTCTCACGATTTCAATATCATGATTTCTTGCAGTGCATAAACCACATCCTAAATTGTAATGTTGGCGGTTTAATGAGCAAATCTTTTTTGGTAGCGTCTTCGGCGGCATCAGCAGAAAAAGCTTTGGCAAAGCGTTGCCAATTAAGCGACTCAGGCGAAGGACTTGGCATAATTCATGTCCTTCAGCCTGTCCTCGTCGCCAACACACACACACACACACCCACGCACACAACTAGCAGGCGTAAA